ACCCTAGCGACCTCAAGCCAGTCGCCTGGAACCAGCACCAGCTGGCCCACCTACAACAGATGTGCAGCGAGGCTGGTGGGACGCCAGCCCCTGGCCTGACAGGCAAGCATGGAGCAGGACGTGAGTTGGCAGGGCCTGGCTTTGTGGGCAAGGCTCCTGCCTACCCGCAGGAACTCTGCCTGGCACAGTCCTTCCATCTGAAGCCACCCCTGGAGAAGCCGACCCCATCCCCACCAGTCAACGGCCTGGCAGCCCCACTGGCCTATCCCAATGGTCACTACTTCCAACCCCTGTGGAACAACATTCTCCCCACTCCCAATAGCGACAGCTCGGGGTCTCAGGACCTCGCCATGCCGTTCCATGGTGGGCAGCCTGCAGGTGCACCCCTCGACTGTGCCGCAGCTTCTGGGGCCCACTACCGAGCAGGGACCGGGGGCGGTCCAGTGGCAAGCCAAAACAGCTTGATGCAGACAGTGGATTATCTAAGTGGGGATTTCCAGCAGGCCTGCTTTCGAGAACAGAGCCTGGCTATGCTGAGCAAGGCCCACCGAGCCCCTGGCAGCCGAGCCCCAGACCCCACAGATAGTCGAAGTCTTCATATTCAGCATCCAGGGTATAGATAGGTAGGCCTGGTGCCCTCCACGAGCAACACAGCATACATCACCCTCCTAGGTTTAGTCTTACTTCTAAGTGACTGGATAGTTTCCAAGTTTCACCGCTCCAATGTGATCATTCGTAGATATCTAAGGGGATTTGGCGAGATCTAAATTGGGGACAGAGGGGGCCTCTCATCTTCCCCACCAGCAACTTTTGGTTTTGTATTAGATCCTAATTCCAACCCCAGGCTTTTCTCTCTGCCACCTGCCAGTCTGTCTCCACATGACCATTGCCAGCCAGTCTCTTCCCATCTTTTCTTGAACCTCCTGTCCCTTAGTGAGGTGTGAACTGAGGTGGGCCCTAGGTGGGCATTTCTTTTTTTCTGTCTCTCTTAGCTAGACTTCCCAAGTGCTCTGGAAGCTAATTCCTTATTCATTCCAAAGACCTCAGATCAGAACTGACCCAGACTTCATCTCTGAACTTTTTCATTCCTCAAGGCTTTGTTTTGCATCTATATCTATCCCAGAGCCACTGGCCTTTGTCCTTGCCACACAGCCTCAGGGCCTCCTGCAAGGAAGTGGCCGTAGCCTTGAGACATGGGAAAAACGTCTGTCCTTCTCATCTGTCCTGCTTTCTGACTCCCATTTCTGGGCTTAGAGAAACGCAGTGGCCATCCAGCATATTAGACCCAGATCCCTTTCTCACTGTTGGCTCTGCCCTGAGTTACCTGCTGCCCTCATCTCTACTTCCTGCTCCCCTCCCCCTACACACACACAAAAGAACCAGGCAAAACAAACAGACTACCTTACTTGAGTTAGGTAAGGGATGATCACATTGGAGTTTGGAATTTAAAACACCAAAAAAAAAAAAAATGTTAAAATGCATTTGGTTCTCTCTACACTGGCTAAGAATATTGCTCTACACTGTAAGTTTTAAACGTCGTTTCTGTATGAATGTGGTGTGGGTGTGAGTAGCCTTGTGTGTGAGTGGCCCCACAGGTACATTCGCCCTCTAGTCGCTCCCTTTTGCAGCCCTTCAGTTTAATGAAGAAAGGAAAAAACACAAAGCCTTAAGCTCTTTGAATTCTTCCTTTACCAAATGAGCATGATTCTAACAGCTGGAGATGGGCCTTCATGGGAAACAGCCCCTCCTACCCTGCCTGTTCTTAGCACACACCCATCCACCCTCCCCCATGCCCACTGTGTCTCACTCCCAAGTGACCATTAGTCCGCTAGAAATTGAACGCTTTTCTGTAACTTAGACTGTTTTGTTAAAACTTTTTGCACCCTTCTGTTAAAGATGCACAACTGGGCTTTTTTTTTTTTTTTTTTTTTTTTTTAAAAACAGGTAAGCCATTACCTTTCCTCTCCTCTCTGGGGAATGTGAGCTGATGATCTTATTTTAAGATTTTGGGTTGTGTTTACTATCTGCTTGTTCTTTAGCCAGAAATTCTCTAGTGATCTGAAGCAATGTGACTGAAAACCAGTTCTTAAATTATGTGTTGGCAAGTTGCCTTATATTTAAAAAAAAAAAAAAGAAAAAGAAAAAAATGCCTGATTGTGTTATGCCAAAAGATAGCTACATGAAGTCCTAATTTATTGTTCCCCGTTGTTTTCCTGCTGTCTGTGAACACTGGTACCTCCTTGTCCTTGAGTCCTCAGAAGCACCTGCAGCTTCTGGTGTAATGCCTTCCCCCATGGTGTCGGCCACCATCTCACCCAGGGCCCCTTTTCAGTATCTGCTTTTCTGAGTCAGATTTAAAGAACACCGCTGTCTCCCTTATCCTTTGCTTGATCTCCAAACCAGATAGTCTTGCTGTAACCCCACTCCCCACCCCCCTTGCCTGTCCCTAAGAGGTGAGCTGCCATTTTAGGGAATTGGACCAGTCACCAGCTTGGGGACTCTTAAATGAAACCACCTCAAACCCAGCTCTTCCTGTGTAGGGGTGTAAGTCTCTGAAGCTCTCACTCCCACCCCTAGTCTGCATGGAAAATGTACTGTGACCCTCCTACCCCCACCTCAACTGCCCTTGCCTTTGGTGTGAGATGTTTCCTAGTTCAACCTGAGTCCCTCTCCTGCTCTGCCAGCCAAGCCCCAACCAGCAATAAGGGTCCAAGCCAGGGCCTCCTCTTCACACTCCCTGCCTCCACCCCACACTGTCCCTAGGGGCTCCCTGGACTCCCCTCTTTATCCATATACTGTAGATTCACGCTCCATCTCTCTCACCTCGTCACCTGTGGTGGTTTATGGTGTGATGGGGTTTTTAAGATTATTATAAACCAGTAAAAAAAAAAAAAAAATCCCTCACCTTTTGACCTCGTTCTATTCGTTTAATGCTGTGAATTTTTCTTACATCAGTTTCTAACATCTTAATGAAGAGGGAGGTGAGTAATTCCTCAATTTTAAGAGGGTCCCTATAGTTCATCCCACCATTCCCAGACCAGGGGCTGTGGTGACTGTAGGCGCCCTTGGGAGAACCCAGCTGGGTGACCCTCCCTACAGGGCTCGGGGCTTAGTGTGCAATTTGATGTGTAAGTATGGTCTGCCGCCCTCACTGGAAGTCCAAAGGGTCATGCCACTTTCACTCCAAGGTCCATCAGTCATCAGGGAATGGGGATCTGGTCTGCCAGTAAGCCAACCTCAAACTTTCAGCCTCCCTCCCACCCCTTCTCCTACCTCCAGGTCGGGTTTCTGAGGGCTGCTGACAGGTGGAGGTGTTAGGCGCTGGAATCTGCAGCATGAAAACAGGCTCCTCCTAGTGACTGGAATTTCGCCATATGTTGAGTGTTAGCCAGCTTTCCCTCTTCAGAGTGCAGGAGGGGAAAAAAAAAACTTATTTTGGGTTCGATCTAAGATGTGATGGACAGAAAGATAAGACTCAGGCAGGGAAGGTAGAATCAGACTCCTAACAAGGCTCCGGGGAATTCCGATAGAGTTCAAAGCACTCCTGCTCTGTGGGGTATCCCATCACGAAAGTGCTTTGGTCCCTTTGCTTCTCACCTCATCCCTGAGAAAGCAAGCCCTCTTCTGCCTGTGTCAGGTGAGCCTGCCACTGGAGTCCAGCTGACACTTTGATGCAGAACTGGCCTAAGTTCCACAGAACAATTATGCCTGGCACTGGGATGAGGGCCAAGCCTGCCAGGGTGGTGAGAATGGGGTCAATTGCAAGGCCTCGCTGTTGTACACAACTCTATAGGAGGCATCATTCAGCTGGTGAATATGCCCCATGGAATCCGGTATGGGCAGTGTCCTGGCAGCAAAGGGAGCCCAAGTTTGAGGCGAGCTTCTATGGGATACTCAGTGAAGGGTGGTTTCACCTGTCGTCTGATGGCATTTCCTCTGCCGGAGCGGCTAGAGCCCATCGTGGTTTGCCCTCCCAGTTCTAAACATTGCTATACCAAGATCTGTGAAGGGGCCACCTCTGCTTTCTTAGCTAGGCAGCCAGGGCCCCTTCTCTGCCTAGACTGAATTTGACCTTTTGAAAAGACTGGGTTGGTGGTGAGCACCCCAGGCTTGGCTGACCCAGGTTTAGTCCTGCCCTGTCACCTGATAAGCCTTATTCTTGTGCGAGGGGAATGATGGGCCTTAAAACTTTCCCGTATGAGGGAACAGTTCCTGTATACTGGGCTAGGCAAGAGAGCAAGGCACTTTTTTTATAACAAATCTATGAGGTGAGCAGGCCTGTTTTTACCAGTGAAAGTACTGATGCCCCACTCAGCTGCGCCTTGCTGAAAGCTTGCACCACAAAGACTCCAGTGCTAATCTATTGCAAAAATTAAGAACTACACCCCTAAGGACTGAGTGAGTTTAAGACAGGATCGAGGCACTGCCTCAAACCAGTTGATGATCATTTGACAAGTGATCCATCCCCATTTATCAGTGAAACATATGATCATAGTATCCATTGAAAATCAGAGACATGGATGAGGAAAATCCAAGTGCCTTGTACATTTTGAAGGTCCCTTTGCTCAGTTTAGTTCTGGGTGTGAGCTGGGCTTCAGAATTTGATTAGTATCCATTAAGCATGTATTCTGTGCCAGGAATGTACATCGTCTCATTAACTCTTCCCTACAGCCTGCTGAGAAGGGGCCGCTCACTGTGGTGATAGGAACTGTTTCACTTAACTGTACTAAGTGAAATAATGCACACAAAATGGTTAGTATTTTCTTCCATAATAAAGTAATCAACAACAGCTACAGGTTAAGTACCCCTTATCTGAAACGCTTGGGACCAGAACTGTTTGGGACTTTGGAACCATTTGCAAATAAGTAATGGGGTGTCTGGGGGATGGGATCCAGTTACAGGAAATTAGTAAGCTTCATATATACCTGATACATACGCCATGGCAATTTCACATGGTAGTTTTGTACTGTAGCATTTCCAACATGTCATATGAAGTTGTGTGGGATTTTCCACTGGTGGCAACACACTGGCACTTTAAAGTTTGTTTTTGAGCATTTCAGATTTCCGATTAGATACTCAAACCGTATTGCGAAAGGCAGTGGGGCAAGGACTTCAGCTTCAGGATGTCCAAGCCCACACCTCCCCCATCGAACCACAGGAGGGCAGCAGCAGGCGAGGCTCTGCCACACAAAAGCCCGCTGTAGCTCCCCCGTCATACACCAGAGAGCAGTAGAGAGCAGGTGGATCCTAGGCTGAGAGTGAGTGCAGCCCTTCTCAGGTTGGGCCTCAGCCTTCACTTGGGCCCATCCTCCCAGGGCCCCAACCAACCCAGATGAGTCAGGCTGGAGCCAGGTTAATAAATACAATACAGGATTTATTAAAAATCAGGGCTCCCCTGCTGTGCCCTCCTGGCACTAAGGAAATAAATAACCAGAGGGAGCACAGCTGGGAAAAGGGGAAGAAAAGTGAGATCTCAAGACAGATTCTTTTAACTACCCCTCCTTTTCCCAACTCCCTCCCCCCTATGGCTCTTGGGACTTAGCACCTGAGCAGGCACCTCAGTCCAGTTGAGGATGGCTGGTACCAAGGCATGTCTGCCCTGCCCAGGAGTGGAGACAGGCCCTGGGATCGATCGTTTCCAGCCCTTGAGGACCCTGAGACCTGCTCCCCCGAGGGGCCAGAGCTGAAGCACCAATCAGAGGCACCTGAGGGTGGAGTTGGCAGGGGAGAGAGAACAGGATAACAGAAACTGGGCAGCAGAAAGGGGGTCCGGCCCCCTCTCCAGGTCCAGCCAGTGCCTGAGGCCATGGGGCGCCTCATCTCCCCTGGAGCCAGGCCTGCACTCAGCTCGCTCAGCTGAGGATCTTGCGGGGCAGCTCGACAGAGGCACGGATGAAGACGGCGTCATCCCGCACATAGTTTCTCTTTCGGATGTCCTGGTGGGAGATGAACTTGGGGTAACCAAATCCCAGAGAACTTTCATCCAGGGAGCCCCGCCAAGTGCCAGGCTTTTGAAAATTCTTCCAGTTTGGGTCAGGGTGAAAAGTCTCAGTGACATGCTGTGGCTTAGCTAGCCCAGGGTCACTCTGATCCAGCAGGGAGAAGGTGACCCGGCGGGCAAAGGGCCATTCGAGGAGATTGTCAAAGGCTCCTGGTAGCACGCGGATGTAGAGCGAGAGGTGTGTGCCTTCGCCACTGCCATTGCCGTTGAGGAAGGCAGACACCTGCAGCTTGTAGCCATACTTGTGTGTGTAGAAGGCTGGGCTGAAGCACTCGAGGTTGGGCTTGGCCTTGGCCTCCTGGAGTCGCCGCCCATAGCTGCCAATCTTCCAGATGAGGACACCGTCACTGCCCACTGACAGCTCCTCCAGCTCTCGCCGCAGCTCCTGCAGCTCCTGCCTCTGCCGACTCACCAGGGCACACATCATGGCCAGATGTGGCTTCACACTCTCCTCCACATGCCGTGCCATTGCCAGCTTAGGGCACTATGGGCAAAGCCCCAGGCCATGGGGGAAGGGAGGAGTGTTAACAGCAGAAGGGCCAGGGGAGAGGAGGGAGGAGTGGGGACAAAGTGGCAAGCACCCTGCTCTGAATGAGGAAGACAGGATGCTAGGTGGAGGTTGGCGCTGGCCAGCAGGAGGACTGATGGCCTCAGAGTGGCCTAAAAGGGAGCACCTGGGCGGAGGCTGCATCAGAACCTCTGCCTAGGGCTACAAGGGCTTACCGAAGGGGCCGACAGAAAGGGGCAGCTCACCCTGTGCTTGCAGCCGGAGTCTTTGAAAGGGCACAGCACCAGGGCAGTGCTACAGCTGTCCTTGAGGTGGCCTTGCAGGTCCTCTCGAGCCACGGTGCCCACGCCACACTGGTTGGGACAGGGCACAGGCAGCCTTGGGCACTGGTACTGGTGGCTCTGGGGTCGTGGAAGCAGAGAGGCAGTGGTCAGCAGCCAGACTCCCTGTGACCTGCCCTGCAGCCCACAGTTCGAGAAGGGCCTCACCTGGATGGTGTCAAAGACAAACTCCTTGGTGCAGTAGGTACAGGGCTGGGTGCGCTTCGGGCACTCGGAGGTGGCATGCTGGGCCAGCAGCCGCCGCATCATGCGGGCACCACACTTGTTCTCACAGTACACACTCTCTTGGGGGCACATGCCCTCGTGGCTCTGTGGAAGTGCCAGAGGTGCCGTTGAGAGATACGTGGATAGCCAGCTCCCCTCCCCTCCCTCCCTCCAGGTCCCCTCAGCCGGGCCCCACCCACCTCATAGGCCTCCCCGCTGAAATCACAGCCACAAAATTCGCACTTGAGGCGCCGCTTGGGGCAGTCGTGCTGCAAGTGTGCTGGCAGATCCCGGCGACTCAGCTTGGCAGGGCAGCGATTGGGGCAGGGGACCACGTTGAAGCTGCAGGTATTCAGGTGGCCCTGGTGGGGAAGGTGGTAGTTAGCACCTGCCAAGGGAGGGTAATCCCTGCCCCCCACACCAGAGCCTTACCTGCAGATGACGAAGTGGCCCACTCCAGCGGCAGCCCTCCTCGCTATGGATGCAGCGGATAGGCAGGCCCAACACCTGGACTTCCAGCTCTGGGTCCGGGTAGATCTGGGTCCAGGGATGGAGGGAACTTGCCAGGGTTAGAGCCTGCTGCAGTCCCCAGCTCACATCTGGATCTCTGCCCCCTCCTTCCTTCGTTGGGACGGCTCTACCTTAGAGCCAGTAATAGCCTCTCGGGCTACTAGCCCCTCGTGCCCAGGGATGGAGGCCACGGCAGTTAGCCTCTGCTCTGATGCTGGGTCCCACACATAACTGCCTGTAGAGCAGCAGCCCAGGCTGCCCCTCGCTCTACTTCCTTCCCCTGGTGGAGGGGCCCTGGCCTGCAGCCATGGGCCTGACATGCCACCGGAAAGGGAGGGAGCACTTCTTGTGGGCACAGAACCACTCTATGCACCCCCACAGGCTGGGCATTGTGCCTGCCCTCCAGGGTAAACACAGGCCTCGTTTGCAAACTGGCGGGAGGGAACAGGCTACCTTTGAGGGGGCCTGATCACAAGGCTCTGGGTTGACATTGGCCCTGAGCCCAGTGGCCGCCCACAGCTCTACCCTCTACAGAGGGCAGCGGCCTATACCTGGGCTGGGCTATGTGGACTCACCTTGGCATAGTCCAGGGGAAGTTGGTCTTCGGGGCATTTGAAGACTCCTTCACTGAAAGGGGGAGGGGGACAGGGTCAAGGTTCCTCCTTATGAAGGAGGGAGAGCCCTGAGTCCCACCCACTCAAACAGGGCTCAGGGCTGCCTCCCTCCCTCACCAGACCGGTTCCCAACCAGCCCAGCTGAGACAAAAGGGCAGGCAGGGGCCAGACCCACTTCAGCAGTACCCCAGAAGATTCCAGCCCCCATCCTGGTAAGGGGGGCCCAGTTAGGCAGAGGCAGCTGCCTCAGACAGTGCTGGCCAACAGGTGGCAGCTGGCAGCCCTCCCCCCCCTCCCCGCAGCTGGACTGGGAAAGGCTGCTCAGCCACCCCTCCCCCCAGGTTAGCTGTCACTGGCTCACTGAGAGCTGATGGGACTGGGATGGGTGAAGAGGGAGGGGCTGAGATTAAGTGCCAGGGCTGCCCAGCCCCCAGTAAAGGTGCCAAGCCAAGAACCAGGGCAAGGGTCATCTCAAGGCCACCTTACCCTATCCTACCCCTCCCCTCCCCTCCTGTGAAGGTGTGTCTCCTAAACGGAAAGGGGTGGAAAGGCACGCTCCCAGGGAACCCCGTTACAGTCCCACCCAGTCTTCACCTGCCTCTGGGAAGGGCCACCTGTTACAGATGAAAGAATACAAGCTCCTGGGTGGAGCAGCACCAGGACGTGTCTGAGCCCACGACCAGACTGTACTACACCACACAGAAGGCTGGGGCAAGGGACGTCTGGGCAAGCCCCACGGTCACTGCTCAGTCGGCTTCTGCATCTGGCTGGCCCTGCCCACCGCCACTGTCCTCCTCTTCCACAAACCCTCACCTGACAGCACCCAAAGGACCTGGAGGCAAACCTCCTCCTGCCAACATGCCCTTGCTGACCCCAACCAGTACCAGTCACACATGCCTGGCATGGCCTAGGCATGGCAAGGGCTCACCCAGCAGGACTGAAGGCCCTTGGGCACAGCATTCCTGGCAGGTCTGAGTCAGGTAGGTGGGAGGCAAGCCGGGATGTAGGAGGAAGCAGAGGCCACATGGTGGCCCTGCTCTGCAGACACTTTCCAGGGTCTGGGCAGTCCGTGCCCAGATGCCCAGAGAGTTTCTAGCACCGACCTCCTCTCCTGGCCATGCCAGTGCCAAGAACAATACATGCCCAGGCACTGAAGGGGTGTGCCTGTGCCACAGGGCATCCAGCCTTCCTGGATCAACCTGAGTAATAGCCCTGGCAGGAGTGGGGGAAGAGGGGTGGGCCAAGGCAGAGAGGGTCCACTTGGCTGCTTCAAGAATGTGCTGACTTAATGGTTTTGGAGACAGGGAGGGGACTGAGGCAAGTCCCTGAGCTTCAGGCAGAAGCTTAGCCTGCAGCTTGGGGCCCAGCCAGGACAAAGGTTGGGTGGGAGCTATAGATGCCCTAGCTTATATGGCAGGGGGTGATGGTGAGGGGCCAACAGGCCCGGCGGCAAGGCTCTCACGCTCCTGGGGAGGGAGAGGCAGGAGCAGAGAGGCTGCTCTAGGCCCTGCAGTGAAGCCTAGGCCCAGGGGAGAAGACAGGATGGGGGAGGGGGCTGTGGGAGAGGAAGAGGGGATTTCCGGGAGGAGGAGGGGCAGGAGGGGGCGTGGAGGAAGGTGGGCCTGACAGCCCCCTCCCCCAGCTCCTTCCCCAAGAGTGTCAGGGTGGGTCAGCTGGGGTGGGGGAGGGAGGGGGCAGCTCAGCTGGCCTCATCTGGAAACCAGAGGGCTGGGGAAGGGCAGTGGAGGAGACAATGGGGCTGTGTGTCTGTCGGGGAGTAAGTGTGTACACTGCGGGGAGGGGGAGGGGTGGAGGGAGCAGGAGGGAGAGGGAGAGGGAGAGGGAGGAGGGGGCAGCGCAGGAGCATATGTGCGGGCAGGAGCCGGCCCAGGCTGCGGGGAACAGAAAACAAAGGGCCTGCTGAGATTTCCGCCAGCTAGGGGCTGCGGAGGACCGCGGAGGGAGCACCACAGGCAGGGGCTCCTGATCCCCTCGGCACCGCGAGCAGCCTCGTGACAGCGGCTGACCCAGGTCCCCCGCCCCGTCCCCCGTTCTCTGGGGCTCCCTCATCCTGCCTCTCCACAGCGGGTCTGAGCAGTTCCCAGAGCGGGCAGGAGAGTGAAGGTATCACGGGGCGCCCGGGCCTCGATGGGTGCCCAAGAGGCAACGGGTGACCTGAGTCCAGAGACGGCATAAGTTCAGGACCAACCGGGGTGCGACCCAGGAGGGGACAGACACCCAAAGGGTCCCGGCTTCAGGGGGGGCTGCAGCGTTGCAGTCCTCTCTCATTGTGTCCCAAGCAGCCAGGGCTTAAGTCCCAGCTAAGCCTGTAAGTTGCTGCGTGACCCTGGGCGAG